GTACGCATGGTCCATCTGACCCGCACACCCTGTCTGGACGCAATACAGGACAGGGAGCATCAACTGTGGCATCACTGCTCGTTGCTGGTGCCGCCCAAGAGCGCCGGCAGCTATCCTGACTCTGTGAGATCGGTGCCACTCTCATGGTGCAGGCGGACATACGCAATGTTGCCTTCTGGGCGTTTGCGTTGCATTGCAAACGGCCGCCCACCTGCACGCACTGAGACCAACAGCAGCAAACAAAGACTATCAGCCACCGATCGTCAAATGGAAGGGCTTCATGCCTAACCTTGACCATCTGCTGCACACATGGGGACGACTTGCGTATGTCTACAAAAGAAAAAGAGACAGAGAAAGCACGTTCGACCCCAAAGCGCACAGAGGTATCTTCGTTGGATACAAAACACGAATGAAGGATGGTTTTCTGATCTATCTGCCTGAGCTCAACAAGCTCAAGGTGTCACGTGACGTGCGTGTGTTTGAGCACCTGTCATATGACGATTTGTTCCGTCTTCCTCAGCTGCAAGGTCCAGAGGGGGCTGAGGGAGAAGAACACGGCAGATCTGATCTGCAAAGCCACCCATTAGCTAATCAGAAGCGCATGCTGGTCAGGTCGCAAAGAAGAGAATTCTTGCGCACCGCCATTCCTGACGTCATCAAACAAACAAAAGAAGACACACAGGAACGGCAGGAGAAATGCGCAGACCAGCAACCAGCTGACTCAATGCCAGTGCAAAGGCCGAACGAGCAAATTGAAGTGGATACACCACTCAACGAATCGAAACGGCCTGATGCACAAAACATACACGGACAAGGTATTGCGCGATGCAGAGAGAGACGCATGCCTAAGCTGCCAGTGTACCTGGCCAAACATTATGTTGGTGAGCCCTCCGAGGAAGAGGGGGAGACAGAAGAGGAAATAAACTGCCCAAAGTGCGGTGCTCTTCATGTCGAGCCACCATTTGGCCAGCATTTGGTCCTCGGCGGGCGCGTCAATCTGCACAGACCACACAAAAAGCATCTTTGTTCGTGCGGTGCAGTATTCACACTCGGCCGCAAGAGCCTGGGCATCATCCCGAGACGCACAGCGACTCACCTGGGTGACATTCAGCCGCCCTGGTATCCATTGTCGCGTCTTGGTGAGGTGCTGGGTGAGTGTGGACGGTCGATGAGTGTGGATCGAGCCAGTATGCAGGCACATCCATCGGCAGCAGCTGATGTCGATGAAGAGATGCCGCAGCTGGTGTGCGAAGCCGATGTATGCCCACCATTGGCTTTCCCTCCAAACTGGACTGCACCAGACATACAAATGCACAATGAGAGGCTTGACATGATAGACATGTCATTTGCTGACATCGATGTGTGTTTCTTCGCTGATCTCGAGCCACGCAGTTACCAGGAGGTATTGCGAAGCCCAGAGAAGGCCGAATGGCTCGAAGCGATGAACAAAGAGCACACGTCCATCGTCAACAAACACGTCAGGGAGTGCGTGCCAATCACCGAAGCAACCAGTAAGATATTGCCCTGCAAATGGGTATACAAACAGAAGCCTGACAAAAAGAAGGCACGACTGGTTATGCGTGGTGATTACCAAGAGTTTGATGAGCTGAGAGAGACATATGCAGCGACGCTCTCAAACCTCGCACTCAACGTCTTTGTGGTACTCTCCCTGATGACTGATCTGCCACTCGCCGAGGTCATTGCCTTTGCTGATGCCGCATGGCAGGATCAGCCTGACAGCAAGAGCTCAGCAGGCTACCTCTTGTACCTGTGTGGCAATCTGATTGATTGGCGCTCACATACACAGAGATGTGTGTCAAAGAGCACCTGCCACGCAGAATACATTGAGCTGAGTGATGTAGGTGACCGAGTAGTTGACTGTTCTAACATTGTCAACTTCCTCGGCTTCAAAGCATCCACTGCGCTGGTCTTCACAGAC